TTGACCATAACCCAACTGGCTTGTCTCTCTCCTTTGGTTCAGGCAAACTATCCCTTCTTTTAATGTATGGATATTCAATTGGCTTTATCTCCATACTAACGTCTTGTGAACAATCAGAATACAATGACTCTTTATCATATATCAATGGACTACAAGTATTACCCATGTTCTCTCTGCCCCGATAGGAAGCACTTCTTAGAGATTCTGAAGATAAAAATTCATTTGTATCAAAATATATTCCATCCTCTTCATCCGTGTCAACAAATACTCCATCTCGACTTTCATTGTCTGCATCAGAATCACTTGGACTGCCCTCTGACATGATGGAATAGAAATCTGTGACATTGGGAGGAAGATAAGAAACCAGAAGATTATTTTAACTAAAAAACAAAGTATCACTAGTGATCTTGTGAAAGAAAGATCTAAAGAAGAGAACCCATCTTCACCAGTCTCACTTATTTCCCCCTAGTTGATTACCATATCATGGAAAACACTGGAGTGAGGGGACCTTGGGAGTTGGGACTTCTAAATATAATTACTTCTTAATTACACATGTGGATGTAATATAACGCCATTTGTTGACATGAAATTAGGATCCCATTACATAAGCACATGGTATAAAGCCTCATAGTGAAGTTCTATGTCTAAGGCACCATTTAGTGGTGCTGAGATATTTATTGAAGTGCTTTTTAAATTAAGGATATGTTTGGATTGCAGGAAGGTAGAGGCAGAATGGGAATTTCATACCACATTTCATTCATTTCGTCATTTGGATGCACACAAGACATGGATATATGGAATGTGATTCCAAGTTGCTTTCCTAAGGTGGTGTGGAAATATCATTCTCACACCCCCTACCCCAAATGGGAATCTCACATTCCAGAAGAAATTGTTAACCATATAGGATTAAGCCCACATCATTTAAAATCTATTTTTGCCATAATACTCCTAGCTTATCCAAACACTTGAATTGTATTGACACAAGAATCTCATCACAGCTTGCAGCTTAGTAACACTATTTCAAATTCAATGATAAAATCAAAAATGCAGAAAGTTGTTGTCAAACTACATTTAAAATCTCTTAAGACTGCAAAATTACCAAACTAGGTTCTTAAAGAAAATAATTTTTGTAGTAAGATAGGTTCTTGTAGTATTTTATCTCACATAATCTTAGTTTACCCTAAAAGACTTCTGACAAATTCAAATCTTTGAAAAGAAATGATCAGGTCTGGTGTAATAAAAATCTGTTTTACAGGTAAAATGGCAATGGCTCAACTAACCACTGTATCTTCTATTCCCGTCTACACAAAATGACTTGCGTTCCTTTGTCTCATCCACTACAGTTGTTTCCAACTCAATTTTCTCTGTCTGCAAACAAAGGTAAGGAAAAAAAAGAAGTTATTACTAGAAAAAAGTTGTTAGTACTCTACCGGCATGTGAAAATGGGAAGCCATAACAGAATAACTTCAGACGGAATACATATAAAGTGGCAAGAGATGCAAAAAAATGGAAAAGAATTCTTTTAATAAGTAGAAATAATGGAGAAGAATATAACACAAGATGACAATTTTTTTATGATACAAGATGACAATTTCTCATTACTTCAAATACCTGATGAAGTTAGGATGTCCTAGAAACACAGTGAACAAACTACCTTTAATTTGGAACAACATGAGGAATAAAGACAAAAAGGTAAGAGTGGTCAACCATCTCAATAAAGCTACAGGTTAGTGAGGTTGAGATTTATTAAAGGAATCCTTTTCACCAACCAACTCTCTCTCCGCATTTAAGACACCCACTGGACCCTGGTAGATGCAATAATTCTTTGGTGCATCAACAGAAGTAATGAACAATCTACAGGGAAAAGAAATAAACAAAACTATGCTCAAGGAGAGAATAATTATGAAGAAAGCAATAAAATGAACATATGACCAGGGTACTCTTATTTAAGACTTTCTTTGACTCTTCTAGACATCAGACACGCCTGGATGAATAAAAACTAGTTTTGGGACCCAGGCATGTTTAGAATTTGCTTTTGTTTTAATGTGCTGCACTGGACACATATTTATGCTAAATGCCAACACCTATATGTACTTGGTCCACAGGTTCAATAGGCAACCAGCAAGTATTATGACTCCAGACAAAAATACAAGATGTATGGATACAATAAAGTTTCAAAAAAGGAATCAAGTTCGCCTCCCACAACCATTTCGTGTTATTCAGTAAGTCACAAATATTCAAACTTGTTTCTGTGAGAAAAATGTTCGGGTGTGGAAAAGTGAAGCACGAATACCTCTAACTGTCTTAATCTGTCCAGCAGCACAATGTGTTTATGTTGAAGAGCTTTCAACTGATTTTGCAGCTCAGATAGTTCGCACAGCATAATAGACTCACAGTCTTTTATGACCCCTTCACCAATGCCTTCTTGTGATAATCGTAATCGCAGCTTCTCAGTTGAAACTACAATGTCTTCAGAAGGTAATAAATCATTGTTTGTCAAAAGTCTGGGGAACTGATCTTTAGCAGCTAGCAAAGCCTCAATCCATGCAGCTCTATCCTCTCTAGATAGACAACGCAGATGAAGAGTTTTTGTCCCCGTGAATATGGACAGCCTTTTGTCATCTGACTTGCTAGCCCGAATTGAAGAAACCTGTAAAATGTACTAAAGAGTGTTATGCAACCACCCATAAAAAGAAAACATGGAAAAATAAGGTCATAAACATATATTTACAGACAAGCCATTTAAAAATTACAATAGCACCTTTCTTCATTTTAATAAATTTTGCTAATTTAAAAAAATTACAACAGCACACGTGTCATGTGGATACAATAACATCACATAACCTGCTCTTGGTATATCAGTCACATCAGAAGCCCACGGTAGATATGAGAAAAAGAACTACAAAACCTTTTAGAAGTTAGAATATAAGATAATGGCAGGGGTTCAATTCAAGGGATTCCTTATAGCAATGAAATGCTATCTCAAGGTAATTTAAAGAGGGTGGATCACCTTCCACAAGCCCACATTGTAGTGACTGCACACCAAATACTGCCTTAAAGAAGGCAAAATATAGACTCAATTGCAAGAATAGAGGCTTGCCTTCTTCACAGAATAGGGCAACTTGTTGCCCCTCAAAGCAGACAAGTTGCCATATCTCACTGTACTTTAATCTAGGACATCATGAGAGTAGTTGAAATCATATTTTGTCCAGATAATAAATTAACTAGAAAAATTTTGTTGGCCAATCACTTTAAGGATGCAGTAATATTTCCTACCCTTAAGCCAAATGTAGATACCCATATCTATTCTTAGAAAGTTATTTTAATTAAGAGAAGGCCAGCTCAGAGTGCTTTTACAAATAACACTATAAGCAAAAGCTTCCTAATTATTGAGTGACCAAACACTTATTTCTCTCCCATTTTGTTAGTAACCAGTTTCTTTGCAGCAAACTACATGTGGTTTGCCAGCAATCAGTTCCCAACATTTTTTAAGTCGCTTAACATCTTTTGTTTTATAAAGACAGACATGAACCTTTTTCATTTTGGCTAACTTTTGGAGGAGTTCAGTTTAAAAATAAACTTCAATTTTTATATTATTGAAAAGCTATAGACATTCTGCTCACCTCCCACTCCTCTGACCCACTCCATATTTTCCATCTTTTAATTGCTCTTCTTCTAGGCTAACAAACCAGACAAATTCAGAACTCTTTCACAAGAACTACAATCACTAACGCTATGTTTGGCTCAGATTTATTGAGAGAAAGAAAGGGATAAGGGAAATAATAATTAATAACTTGTATCTATTCATTTATTAAGAAATGCCTACTCATGTTTTCTCATTTTTTCCCAGCACAACCAAACAAAATCAAGAAATTTAAACTTCTCATTCAAATTTCTTTTTCTTTCCTTTTAATTTCCCTCGGCAAATTCAAGAACCAAACACAGTCTAGAAGTCCCGAAGATTTGTATGTTCTGTGAAAGTATATGTGTAGATACATGCATTTCAAATCATGTTAATTCCAATGAATCATGTTTATGTTTCACTTTTTCGATAGGAAATAAGATCAATACCAACAATACTGCAGTCATAAAAAGTCAACAAAGGAACCAGACACTCACGCTCGGTTTGTTTGAGTAGAAAACATTTTCTGAAAAATATTTTCCATATTTCCATGTTTAGTTCAATGAAAAATGAAAGTCTGACAAACAAAAAAAATGTTTTCTACTTTCAAAAGCTAAAGTCGCACCAATGTCAGCATACTACTATTGTCACTCTCACCTCTACCACCGTCACCACAGCCACCACCGCCATCACTGTCGCATTCACCACCGGCGCTGCCACTGCCCTATCACTATGCCACCACCTTCATCTTCACCTTCAATCCACCACCACTACCACCAAAGATAGAAAAATGTTTTCTACATAAACTTTTTTGGAAAAACGTTTTCTATAAAAAAATATTTTCCATTAGAAAATGTTTTCACCCAAACAAAAACATCTTCAAAATCAAGTAAAAATGGAACCCAAAAAGAGTTGAAGAAGATTTAGAAAAATGCGTAAATACACATATATATACATATATTATGCATGTATAGGCTGATAAAGCAACAAAGAACAAACCTTCAAATGTATCTCCCCAGACGGTTTCCACTGCTTCGCAGCAGCACCAAGTCGATTACTGCTCCAATTAGCTTTCTTCATATACCTCAAAGACTCCTCTCCGATCACATTCACGCCCTTCTCTCTCGAAGGACTCATCACAATCTTATCTGGCCCATGAATCTTATAATACGAAAGCACTCCATCTTCAAGCACAAACCACCTCGATCTCCAACCTTTCCCATAGTTCACCCACTTATACAAAATCCCAGCCACACTCCTACTGACACCTCCATTGCCGTAAAGAACCTTCGAATCTCTCGGTTCAATCACAATATCATCAACTTCGTGATCCACAGCAACACTCAATCCATCGAAATCAGTAACAACTGACGATGCTTGTGTTGAAAAGCTCGGTTTGGAACCAAAATTCACATTCTTCACAGAACTCTCTGACCCTAACTGACGCTGCTGAGTCTGTGGCTTCACTACGTCCGAATTGTTCCGATCGCGATCGATCGAAACCGGAGCAATGCAGCACAATGGATTCATCTCAACAACAAACACACAAATCACTCAAATCAAACTAAAGATCAATCTCATCGCAGTGAATGTGCCTTCAAAATGCACACCAATCTCCCAATTTCCGGTGTTTTCGAGCTGGAAACAGATCGGTGAGAAACAGAACACCCGATTCCAAACGATACGCAAAGTAAAGTGGATCAGACGAGTGATTTTGAGTAACATGAATTAGATATAGAGAGAGAGAAAGAGAGAGAGAGAGAGAGAGATACATATAAACATAGATATATGATGAGAGAGAAAGGGGGGGCAATTATAGCGGCAGTTAAAGGCAATTAAGCTTGCAGTTGCAGACGATAGAGATGTGTATGTGCTGAGATAACAAATCCATTTGAATTCACTGCTCAGTGATTCTCAGTATCCAAACAGTGCAGCAATGGAGAGAGAGAAAATGTATGGGGAACATATGGTGCACCCTCTCACCATAGCTGCCCATACATACACGCTCGGTAGTCGGTGCCATAATTAAAAAAATAATAATATAACTTTAAGTTTTTAAATTATAATTAAATATAATATGATATATAATTAAAAAATTTATAAATTATAATTAAAATAATATCATAATTAAATAAAAAAAGAGAGATTTATTAATAAATCCTAAATGTTAAATTTATAAACCAATTGGTCTTATTTTTTTCTAATAAATCGTTTAGTCTTTGAATATTTTGAGGGACCTTAATGCTCTTATCTAGATGTTATTAAATGCATACTCTTTATAAAGGTATGTCACGTGTCAATTAATCATAACTAAAAAAATAATAAAATTAAAAGTCCATAAAATACATCTAAAGATGTATATATTAAAAAAATTCGTATATATCAGAGAATGGAGAAGAAGGGGTAAATCTACTCTAAGGTCGACCTCATAACTCCTGTCCTGAACCCTCATTTCGATTGTGCTTAAATTTAAGTTTATTTTGATAATTAGGAAAAAAATTAATTTATTGACCATTTTTTTATAAAAGCTAATAAACTAAAAAAAAAGAGAGTCACTTCTTAAAATAGGCTTTAGATTTTAAGGGGAAAATCAAGAAAATAGAAAATTACTTTACAAATTCAAAATTAAATGTAATATTAATGACAATTCTATTCTCTCTAATAATAATAATATGGGTAAATGTGTAAAAAATGTATCTAAATATTAAAAAATAAATAATATGTAAAATATGTTTTGACATTCTAATTTTTTTGATATTATTTGATTCTTAATAAATGGGTAATAAATGATCCTGAGAAGGAACCTTAGAAGATTTAAGGTTAAGTTTGACATTTTTAAAATAAGTTAAAAAGTCACTATCTTAGGCCTCGTTTGGAAAGGTTCTGTTTTAGTTAAAAAGTCAAAAAGTTACTAAATTAGCCAATTAGTCATACCAAAAAGTCAACAATTACGCATTCTCTCTATTTTTTGCATAACTTTTCGTAATTAATTAAAAAGTCATCCCAAACATACAAGTTTTTTTTACCTACCTTTTTAGCCAATTAGCCAAAAAGTTACTAAATTAGCCTGTTCCCAAACGAGGCCTTATTTAAGTCACATCATTTTATTTAAGTCATATCACTTATTTATTACATCACTTCAAATCCAATTCTTATTTTATAAAAAGTCAAAAAATACACTTATTTAGAACATTCCAGACATTCCCTAAATTGTAAATTTGAATATCATTTTTCTATTTTTTTTTATAATTTTTACTTCTTTTTTTTTTTTTTTTTTTTTTTTTTTTTTTTGTCTAGGAGAGAGTAATGATTGTGGAGACAGCTAAAATGCGCAGTTGTGCCCAGGTAGTGATTGGGTGGGGCAGCATCAACCATTTGTCCGTTGGGTGAGACGAAAGAGAAGTTATTTGGTGAATTTCGAGGATTGTTTCACACAACTCATGTTTAGACAGGTGTCCTATTGTCTTCTAAAATAAGACAAAAAAATGATAAAACTCATTGTTTCAGCCAATAAAAAATAGTATACTAGTTGGGTACCTTCTAGGATTGCCACAGAGCAAATTATGGCCCGCGATCGTGAAAGCTCGGTTAAAATGACGCATTTGACCCTTCTCTCTTTCTTCTCTCAAAGGTTGATTGCGAATGTCCAGTTGGGGGTTTTGGGTAATTTCACGTCATTGAAAACGATTAGTGAACTGCGGTTCCGACATCCGTAAAAATAGGAAAATGGGTGACACTCCCAATTTTGAAATCTTTATGATTTGGATTATTTGTGTATTTATTTTTATTTTTTTATCTCTTTTACATGAGTAGTTAGATTATTTTGGAGGTTATAAATATTTTCAAATTTAGTCTTAGTTTGATTTTTATCTTTGGCTATATAAAACATAAAAAGGCAAAAATATCAAACTACCTCATATATAAATAAAGGGTACGACTTCTTTCCAGTTTGAGATCGGACTGGACCGTACTGTTGGGCTCGTGTGGGCTCACCACGGGTCCCGTTTTGATAATCTAAACCGTTCAATGTGTAGAAATCGTCGAGTACTATATACTTATGAAAAATCACTTTGATCGGATATCGATAGCTATGTGATCAAAACAGTTTTTTGTCAACCGTTAATTTGTTCACCGTTCAATTTTTTTAATACGAAACTGATTTGATCATATAGTTATCGACATCCGATCAACGTGATTTTTTACAGGCATATAGTATTCAACGAGTTCTACACATTGAACGATTCAGATTATCAAAAAAGGACCCGTGATGGACCTCTACGGGTCCAACAGCACGGTCCAGTCCGATCCTGGACTGGACCAAAGCCAGGCCCAAAAAAATAATAGGGTTACATACCTCAATTATTATATTAATTAATATATTAATACATATATTATAATATTATAATTTTAAAATTATAAATCTCAATCATTGTATGAAATATAAACATTCAAAATTAATAAAATTATATCATATCATCAATTAGTATATTAATTGAAAAAAAAAATATTAAAAAAATAAAAAATGAATTTTTTTTATTTTTTTGTTTCATTCACTGTTTTTTTTTTTTAATATCATTTTCTAAAAAATAAAAAATAATTATAAAGATATTAAATTTTCTTATTTCATATTTTAACTAAAAAATTTAAATATTTCTAAAAAAAAAAAAAAACCTGTTCTGTTGAGATAAATTCTGTGAAACAGTATGTTCTGCATTTCTTTTGTTTTTATAATTCACATTACAAATTATCAATTTCATATCACAATTGGAAATTGATGTATACAAATGCTGAATGAAAACATAAATTCTGTGAATGAATATAAATTTCTGTTACAAAATTTATTTTAGTAAACATTGGTAATTTGATTACTTATCACTGTCATGATAAACTTCATTTATGATCAGTGAATTACCTATTGATTTTTCATGAAATGGTCTATCAATGAATAAGGAAAACACATGATCTGAATGGGTTCTGTGATTTTTGAGTCAATGCTAGAGACGATGTCTCCATCTGTGAAATACCTATTGATTTTTTATCTGCGAAATACCTATTGATTTGTCAATGCTGAAGAGAATGTCTCCATCTCTCTTCCAAAAAACAGTCCTCAGAGGCAGTTTTTTGGCTTTTTTGAGTTTTTTTGTGAGAGAAGAATGTAATGATTATGGATTGGATGTGATGTTTTGTTTGTTATGACTAAAATAGCCTATTTTGTTTTTTGTGGCTAAAATAGCCAAAAAAGCCCAAACCATAGCTTCCCAAACGAAGCCTATATAATTTTATACTTTTTTATATAAAATACCAAACACTATATGAGGTATAATCAAATATTATATAAGGTATAATTAAATATCTGAAAATAATATTATAACTTAAAAATAAAATTAATCATAACTAAAAGAGAAAATTATATATGGTATAAAATATGTATAATAAAATTCTCCTCAATTTTATTTTGTTTCCAAGTTGTTACAAATTGATGAAAATGCAAGTGAGTTTGTACTTTAGTTTAAGTTAAAATTGTGATAACACAAAAAATATATTACATGCTTTGTTTTTGCTACAGCTAATCACAAATTGCCATGTGTCTGTTCTTTTTTAATATCTCAACCCAACCTATCTGTTTGACCAATCCTAACCTCTCTAAAATACAACTAGACAATGCCCAACCCTGTTTGTTTTTAGAGGTAGGCACTTGGGATTGGATTATTAATAATTGAAGTTATGTCTGATTTTGGTGTTTTGGCTAAAAAAAATATAAAAAATAAAATTAATTACATAAGTCAATAAGATAAAATGTCATATTCAAATCATAATGATTACATTTTTTTTTATAAAAGTCAAAAAAAGTCAAAAACGAAAACCAAACAAAGTTAAAAAAGCCAAACTAAAATAATCAAAAAGTCAAATTATTTTAACTCTTCTCAAACACAGGCTGAGAGTGCTAAATCATGTTTATTTGTAAAGCACAGCTTGAGATTAGTATTTTCCTGAAACTAGCATCGGCTCTAGAGAAGAGGATTATCAAAGGCTTCCAAAGATTTGGTTTCAAAATTAATGATGGATTTAAAAAAAAAAAAGAGACTATTTTACCTATGTGTGTACTATTCTACCAATGTGTGTATGGTTTTGTTTTTTTATTACGTCATTATACATATAAATCTTAAAATAATATGGTATAGAAAAATATTTATAAAATATAATTTTTAATATTAAAATATAGGGCAAATTACATATACCACCCTTGAGGTTTGGCTAAATTACAGATACCCCCTGAGGTTTGTATTTTCATAACAATTTGCCCCCTGAGGTTTAAATTTCATAACAAATTACCCCCTAATTTGTTATGCAAATATAGCATTCAGGGGGGAATTTGTAATTTCTCAAACCTCAGGAGGGTATTTGTAATTTAGCCAAACCTCGAAGGGGTATATGTAATTTGCCCTAAAATATATCAAAAATACCAAATGATATTTATGGTATTTCATATAGGTAATGCCCTCACTAAAATATATCACCAACAAACACAATTTTCTTAATTACCCACTAACAATCTACTCACAATTCCCACATTAATAATACCACCCAATCTAACTCTGAAAATAAACATACCCTAAAGCTATGGAATAACCTCTCATCAATTACTTATCCTATCGGTACTAACTACCTATTTGAAAAAACGAATGAGTTCTCTTCAATCTACTTTGTGGACTGAATCGTACCTAGGCTCATGGAGGTTACCATAAGTCTTATTTCAAAGATTCGAACCATTCAATATGTAAAGCTCGTTGAGTATTTCATCTTTGAAAAAAATCAAGTTAATCAGAACACATTTTTGTTAATAATTTATTTTTAAAATCACATTTATCATTGTCAAAAATGTATTTCGATTAAGGGATTATCGATATTCGATTAACGTGATTTTTTACAGAGATAAAATATTCAACGAGTTTTACACATTGACGATTCGAAT